TATAGTGGCAGAAACAGCATCATTAGCACAGCAAACAGATACAGACAAAAGTTAAGAAAAAAAGTAGAAGTTTATGAAAATAAAACCCGAATAGATAACTTTTCTGTTTGGGCTATTTTACAGCAACATAGAAACCATTACAGAACAAAAAGAATTTTATGTAAAACTGCACTTAAACATGAACAGTGTTTTGGAACGACAGTAGAATATTTGTAATATCAACAATAGTACTCGAGCTCAAAATAATGAACAGCGGTCATTGTACAGCCTACCGTTCTTTTCAACTTAGAATGCAGATTTTGAACATATTGAGTTGATAACATAAAAAAATGTATCATTTTCAAAAAATAAAAATTTTATCCTAGGAGTTAATGTTTGACGAAACTTCACCACAACTGGAATCCGGCGTTTTGGTTGATAGTATACAGCAACAACAAAGCAGACCAACTAGCACTGTGCTACCCCAGCATATTGTCATCTCATCGTTATCCAGCAACATCTACAGCAACAACAGTAGCAACAGTAGCAACAGTAGCAGCAGTATCAGTGCCAGTAATAGCAGCAACAGCAGCGCCAGTAACAGCAACAGACAAACCAAGCAGTTCAAATCCTCTTTTCATCATCATATCCAACCATCATCATCGTCAGTCTCATCAATATTATCATCTGCAGCAGCAGCAGCAGCGGCAACAGCAGCCAAAACAGTATCTGCAAATAACGACTTATATTTATCAAAACGTAATTTTTCTAATTTTTTTTGTAATTTTTATTTTCTTGGTTCATTTTACAATTTAAAATAAATTTAGTTTTATAAAAACTGATAAAGAAAGTCAAATTTTTTTTTATCTCTCTTATAAACCATACTTTTTTTTTGCAAATTTTGTTATTTTTTCTAAAATTGTTGCTTATCTAGGACTGAAAAATTTAACAGGTTATGATGCTATGTCTTTGCATGCGTGTATCTGATTTATGTGTTTGGTACATGCTTTTTTCACTTTTGTGTCCGTGCGTGTTTGCCGTTTGCCTGTTTCTGTGTGTGTGTGTGTGTGTGTGCAGCTTAGTAAGTGTAGGAGGAAAGCTCAGGTGAAAGTGTTGAGTGACTGTTATTCGTGGGAAAGTGGAGACTATAATGGTTTTTCTC